ACTATATCCCATTAACAAATCGTCCAAATCTAGACTATATCCCATTAACCAATCGTCCAAATCTAGACTATATCCCATTAACCAATCGTCCAAATCTAGACTATATCCCATTATCCGATCTTCCAAATCCAGACCGTATCCCATTAATCGATCGTCCAAATCCAGACTATAACCCACTGTCCAAATCCAGACTGTATCCCATTAATCGATCGTCCAAATTCAGACTATATCCCATTAACCCATTGTCCAAATCCAGACTGTATCCCATTAATTGATCGTCCAAATCCAGACTATATCCCATTAACCCACTGTCCAAATCCAGACTGTATCCCATTAATCGATCGTCCAAATTCAGACTATATCCCATTAACCCATTGTCCAAATCCAGACTGTATCCCATTAATTGATCGTCCAATTCCAGACTATATCCCATTACCCCACTGTCCAAATCCAGACTATATCCCATTAACCCACTGTCCAAATCCAGACTATATCCCATTACCCCACTGTCCAAATCTAGACTGTATCCCATTATCCGATCTTCCAAATCCAGACTGTATCCCATTAATTGATCGTCCAAATCCAGACTATATCCCATTAACCCACTGTCCAAATCCAGACTGTATCCATTAACCGTACTGTAGGATCGATCGAAATCTGTATAAGTAACAGTTTTATGTTTAGTATTGGAAATGGAATATTAAAAACTTGCAAATTTCAATGACAAAACAAACAAAATTTAAATAAACATTCTGGCCATTCAACGGTGGACCCACTTCTCAAACTCTGGCTGAAAACTTTTAAATGTGTCTAGTATATTTAATAGTATTAAACCATTACTGCTATAACAGTACAGCATACATAAACCAGGCTATGAACAAATTCTGAGAGAAAAAAAATCCAGTTTTTTTACTCTACGACAAAAGCAACTTAAGATTAACAAATAAATTGTGTTTTTTGTTCGACATTGTGTGTCGAATCAGTCAATTCATTTACCACTGTCGGTTTTCAGTAGCATCCCATGAACTTTGACCTACGTCAAGCTCAGACGTGTTTGTGTACACACCTTTGGAGATGACTCAAATTTGAAAAGTAGTTTTTCCTCCCCTGTATCGGCTAACACTTCTAGGTTTACGTTGATGCAGAAGCACGTTTGATTCAGAAACGAAAAAAAATATAAAATAAAGCGTCTGTTTCGAGGTTTTTTTTTAATAAACAGTAAGAACTCTTATTTAAATAGTTTTTGTTTTGTTTTTTGCTTGTAGTATCAATCTCAAGTCTTTTCTGAACGGACCTTAAAACAAACCAATAAATAAAAATTAATATTTTTTCTTAAACAAATACTGACTGAATTACCCTCGGAGGTTCAGCGGTAAGTTTACGGTCATACAACGCTAAAATACGATGTTTGATTCCCGCGAGGGGCAGAGTGCAAATACTCCATTGTGTAGCTTTGCGCTAAGAAAAAACAGCAACAACAATAACTTTCTGCAACGTGTTATGAATAATTTAATTTATCTGACAAGATTAGAATTACTTGAAACAGCAAATCATACTCTAGATTTCAGAGAATAACGTTAACAAAATAGTTTACTTGAGTGTCCAAAATATCCAGGAAAAATGTAAATAAATGTCTTAGCATAATTTCTCGACACCTTGTACGTTACGCTCTTAATTCACGTATAATGTTTCATAAAAACTAAGTAACAAACCTAATATTTACCAAACGAAATTCTACATAATAACAACAAGTAAATCAGCAACAAACTGAAGCATGCTGAAAGAAAATGACATAATAATAATAAAGCAAAAATAAGTTTCGGAAACTAAAGTAGAAGGGAAGGAAATGGCATAATAACAAGGCAACCACCAATATATAAAATATTGTTGATCACATCGAGGTAATAAAAAGAAAATGCAATAAAATAAACAATAAAAAATGTTTATGGACACTGAAACAGAAGGCAACAATATGACATAATGAAACAATCAACAACGAACAAAAACAATGTTACAGATACTTAACCAGAATGGAATAAATGACATACTAATAAAGCATTTGGTAAAAAAAAAGATTAATGACATTGAAGTAGAAGGAACGAAATAATATAATAATAAGTCAATCAACAACAAAAAAATTGCTAAAGACATCGAAGTAGAAGGAACGAAAATAAAACGAGGATAGGCTTCACTAAAGCCAAAGTCTTATCTAGCATACATAATTCGTCTCTACAATACGTTACACGGACAGTGTTACACACATGTTTATGTATCTTTTAAAGACATCTCTTCGGATACTAATTAGCCAT